TGAGACATTGTGGCATTGTGACATTGTCATGGACAATTCCTTAGAATATGAAGCTGTCCTGAAGAACATAATGAAGAGCCCAGAAGATTTAAGTGCCGGAGAAAAAGGGGTTGCTTAGCTGTGTTGATAATCAATTGGATTTATCTAAATTTGCTAATTTGGTATGAGTTATATACACTGCTAAATTAGTCGTAGGGCGGCAGGAGCCTTAGTGGTTACGAGCGTTTGTGCCAGTAACCGAAGGTCTAATCCCCAAGCCGACTAGTTTGAAAAATCTGTTGTTGTGGCCCTTGAGCAAGGCCTTTAACCCTATGGCTCTGGATAATAGTGTCGGCTAAATGCGTAAATGTAGATAATGATCTGTAGTTTATTCTCAGAATGAGGAAGGTCATAATAATCATTATGGATTTTATACTGTATGGTTAATAAATTGTACATTCATTGTAATGGGTCTAAAAGTTGAGGTTTTTCATTTTGAGTGATAGGATCAATGTGAATCACTAAGATTGTCATTCTAAATTTGGGTTGAGAAAGTAATTTTGGTTTGTTATAAATTTATAAGATGACGAGTGTTAAGTAAATCATTTAGTAAGATATTAGTATAAATTTTTCACATGAAGGGTTTGCTTGTACAATTGAGATAAATTGTCTTATATAATATTATGGTTCAAACAGCGATCCTTTATGGTAATGTCCTTAGGATCCCTTATATGATTATTTTGAGTAGACATTGATGAATCATACCTGTTTGAGGATTGTGCTGAAAATCATTATTATGTTGATTATTACGTCACCGATTAACATAGTAGTCACTATATCCCTTTGAAGTATTGGGTGGTATTGAATGTGAATCTTTAATAGTGTACATATCTATTGTTGCTATGGAAGAAGATAGTGGTTCCTACAATGGGGTTTGGTTTTGTGACTGGACTTTTTATTCTATTTTTCATCTGGAATCTGATTTTGGTTTGAATTCCTCAATCAGAAATACAGTGGGGAGAACAAAGTATTTAGTCACCACCAATTTGTGCAGTTCTCCCACTTAAAGATGAGATAGGCCTGTAATTTCATCCTAGGTACCCGGTCAACTATGACAGACAAAATGGAGAAAAAAAATCCAGAAACTCACATTGTGGATTTTTAATGAAATTTATTGGCATATGCTTTGGAAAATAAGTATTTGGTCAATAACAAAATTTCTCAATACTTTGTTCAAAAATATACCTTTGTTGGCAAATGACACAGGTCAAAAAACGTTTTCTGTAAGTCTTCACAGGTTTTCACACACTGTTGCTGGTATTTTGGGCCCATTCCTCCTCCATGCCGATTCTCCTATAGAGCATGTATGGTTTGGGGCTGTCGCTGGTCAAACACAGACTGTCAACTCCCTCCAAGCATTTTCTATGGGGTTTGAGATCTGGAACGTGCTAGCCACTGCCAGGACCTTGAAATGCTTCTTACCTATCCATCTCCTTCGTTGCCCGGCGGTGTGTTTTTGGGATCATTGTCATTCTGATGACCCAGCCCACGTTTTCATCTGTCAATGGCCCTTGCTGAGGAGGAGGGTTTCATTCACTCAAATCTCCGATACATGCCCATTCAATTCTTCCTTACACCTGATCAGTCGCCTGGTCCTTTTCAGAAACAGCCCCAAAGCATGATGTTTCCAACACCCATGCTTCACAGTATGTATGGTGTTCTTTGTGCACTCAGCCTTCTTTGTCCTCCAAACATGACGATTGAATTTTTACCACAAAGTTATATTTTGGTTTCATCTGACCATATACCAAATTCTCCCAATCCTCTTCTGGATCATCTCAAATGCACTTCAGACGGGCCTTGGACATGTACTGGCTTAACAGGGGGACAACGTCCTTGCACTGCGGATTTGATTCCCTGGCGGCGTAGTGTGTTACTGATGGTTGGCTCTTTGTTACCTTTGTTCCATCTCTCTGCAGGTCATTCACTAGGTCCCCCCGTGTGTTTCTGGGATTTTTGCTAGAACCGTTCGTGTGATATTTGACCCCACGGGTGAGATCTTGCGTGGAGCCCCATATCTAGGAGATATCAGTGGTCTTTTCAATTCCTTTCCATTTGCCTAATAATTGCTCCCCCAGTTGATTTCTTCAAACCAGCTGCTTTACCTATTGCAGAGTCAGTCTTCCAGCCTGGTGTCAAGGTCTACATTTTTGTTTTTGGTGTCTCTTTGAACAGCTTCTTTGGTCTTGGCCATTGTGAGTTTGGAGTGTGACGGTTTTGAGGTTGTGGACAGGTGTCTTTTATACTGATAATAAGTTCAAACAGGTGCCATTAATTCCGGTCGTAGTGGAGGACGAAGGATCCTCTTACAGAGAAGGTTAACAGGTCTGTGAGAGCCAGAAATCTTGCTGTTTGTACGTGACCATATCTTATTTCCTCCACCATAATTTGCAAAATAAATTCATTAAAAATCCTACAATGGATTTTTTTCTGGATTTTTTTTCTCACTTTGTCTGTCATATTGACGTGTACCTATTCTGAAAATTACAGGCCTCTCTCAATTTTAAATTGGGAGAAACTTGCAAATGGTGGCTTACTATACTTTTTTTTCCCCACTTTAGTTTCCCAGGGATGTATGATTTTAACAGGGACTGAAACCAGAGTGTTATCTGTTTATCTCTCCTCAGGCTATTTCATACAAGTCAGGGTTTAACCGAATTGAAGAGGTACCTTTTACCAGGGCGGAAGGTAGCTTAGTGGTTAAGAGCGTTGTGGCCCAGTACCGAAAGTCTGCTGGTTCTAATCCCCTAGCCGACTAGGTGAAAAATCTGTCGATGTGCCCTTGAGCAAGGCACTTAACCCTAATTGCCTCATGTAAGTCGCTCTGGATAAGACGTCTGCTAAATTACTAAAATGTAACGTTACAAGTAAGTGGTTTTTCAAGCATTGGGTTTGAAATGTCACTTATATTTGACCCTACGCAATTGATAATAATCATTGATGCTATTATAAGTAGATAAAGGGGAATGTATGGCGATTAATATAGGGGATACATGTGTACATACTTACCATCAATATGAGAAGGTATTGGGAATTTAATAAATCTAATGGGAAATATTAGCGACATACAGGAGGGTATTAAGGTACTAATTATTCATCTATATCATGTTATTCAAGTGTAGAGGCCATTCAAGTGTAGATCGCATGATTGAGTAATGGGGATTTTAAAGTTGGAACTGTATAACGTGGAATTTTAGGTTTCACAGGATTGTCCCGTGTAGCTCAGTTGGTAGAGCATGGCGTTTGCAACGCCAGAGTTTGGGTTCTTTTTCCCACGGGGGACCGTAGACAAAAAATATATGCACTCACTACTTAAGTCGCTCTGGATAAGAAGTGTCTGCTAAAAAAATGTAAAAAGTTGACAGATAGCACCCCAAGTGACCAGAGAAAATCTTGGGGTATAGTTTATTTTTTATGGGATATATTCAGTGGATATATTATAATATCCTGTAACTTAGAAAGGGTCATGTATCATTGTCATTGTGTGATGAGTCATGATTTTGAGAATGTATTTCTTGTATGTTTTTTTCTCTGGTAGCATGTCTAAGAGGATGGGTATATTTGAAATTATGTATACAGGTTGTCATTTAAGAATAGGGATAGTCTATGTGGGCTTTTTTCCTTATATATCATAAGTTTTGACTACTACTGATTTTTATCATGAACTATTAGTTAATCATGTTATTTAATCTTTTACCAGACTACTCTTGACGGTTGAGAGGTGTATTGTGCATGAGATAAGTGAAGAAATGTCAACTTTTGTTGATTATATTGAAACTCTGGTTGGATTCAGGTATAAGGTACAGAGGGATGAATTCTCAGTTATCTAGCAATAGTTTAGACTCTAATCATATATCTTATGGCTACTGATTGGAGAACATTTTATTTTATTATGAAAGTTATATGTGAAAATTGTTTTAGTTAAGTAATTGAATATTCGATAAATTTCCTTACCACAAATAAAAAAATGAAAGATTGTTATGATGTCATTTCATAGTGGTGGTGGGAACCAGGTTACTTTATTAGATAAGTGATTCGGGGTGCCAGCAGTGTCTGAATATCCCCGATTCAAGTATGTCAAGGGAGCTTACTGTTGGTTTAATCTTAGAATGATTGATAGACTGATAGACTGAACTTGGGGTACAAGTAATAAAATCAAAGAAGGGTGCCCACTGATGGTTACCAGATGGTGTTGAAGAAACTGTAACAGAAAGGTATAATAAACTGAGAGTTTTTCTTTTGTTCCGTAGTTAAAATTGCAAGAGTCGCAGCACATGCCTTTGGTTGATAACCCGTATCGATATTAAATATTTGAATTAACTCTCCATCTAGTGTTAAATATCTTCTTGCATCATTAAGTACTTGATACCCTAGAAACTCAATCATACCAAAGGGTAACCTCAAACCCAAATAGCGAGTTGATTTCAAATGAAAACTGTCCCTTATATTCCCAGATAAGAGTACCATGATACCTCTCAGGGGCCATGTCCTTGCATCCTCGACAACATGAAGCCTCGCGATCCAAATTGGAACCGCTGTGGGGCTTGGTTTTCCTGTTCTCTGCGGCCAGTACGACGGCCTCCTCTGCCACCTTAGCTCCTGGAAGAATGGGCGGAGGAAACATTCAAGGCCCAGTCATTAGCATGTTGTTCACAAACACCGCCACCCTGCACACAATTCTTATTCTGATTAGTGGAGGCCTCAGCCACCCTGTGAGAGTTGTCTACCTAGTAGTACTGCAGATTAAATCTACTGACATTAGTTTCATACAATTACCCGATGCAAAGCCTGCTCAAATCCATTGTCTTCTCATGGGGGCGATTGAGTATGTAGTTAAGACAGAAAACACATGAAATCAAAGCTGAAGCTGCCTTTGCAAGGTTCATGGACTGTTTCTATTCACTTTGCGACCCAACCGTATTGCTGGCTTGGATCTCGTCTTTTCACATGCCTTTCCCAGCACAGTCCAGGCAACTATGGTGATTTGTAACCAGGACCCCCAGTGCAGTCCGACTCGACCCAGTAGTGTGAAAAAGTTACTATCAATACTGGCCATTCCAAACAATTTCAGTCTACTTATGCATCAAGTCAATCAAATGTTTTGCTCGTGTTTTTCTTCTCTCCAGCTTGCTCAATGTTTGTCTCCAGCAAAGGCTCGTGAAACAAGAACCACCGTAAAGCACAAAAAATTATGACGGTAGAGCTCAGCAACCTGAACCCCTGAACAACAAAACTTTTGGGCACACAGAGGGAAAGCTGTTTCCATCCAACAGCTTATATCGTTCCCTCGTATTCATCTTAAGGAAACACAGAACAGAATGACCTCTCAAATAACTCAGATGTTCACCAACAATATAATATGTGGTTTTGCGGTGTGTGGTGTGGTGTGCCAGTTTTATTTGTTACTGTACTTGAATAAAGTTTAATTTGATGCAATGTATCAGTGAATGATAGTGAGCACTGTACCTCCCCATTTCATCACATACCTGGCTCTCTGCCACCGCTTTATTGGCCTCCTTTCTCCAGTTCTGGTAATAAATTTGGAGAGCCGTCACTCCAAAACCATAGCCTGTCCTGTGGTGAAAGAAGAGTCTCAGGATCAAAGCATCCATATTACTATTATTTTATTATTATGATAGTATGCCAGTGGATATACTAAAAACTAATCTGACTTTACCAGTGACCCTTGGATATTGATGAGTATATACCAAGATACTACTGATCTGTGAGTAACCCACCTGACCGCATCATATCCTCCATCCAGTAGGAAGAGAACCGCCAGCCTTGCACCCACCACTACCCTGTAGAAATTGGATACTCCGCAGAGCCGTGGCACAGACCCAGTTTGCTCTCAGGGACACAAGTGTCTCTACAGTGAGAGGTAGACAGGGACAAAAGACATTTCCTAATGTAAGTATCAGTCAGTATCCAGTCCTGGGATACTTTCTTCTGGACTCTCCAATCAAATATTGTCCATCGCAATTAATGCTCTTTACCTATGCTCTTACAGAATGTTAGATCTCTGTCTTAAACCAATGTCCTGGTGGGTTTCAATTACAGTAGGCCTCAGGTAATATAAATCATCAATAAATATTCGACGCTTAAAAGAAAATTCCAATGAAACAGATAACTTAAAGGGGATGTTCAGTATTTTCCAGGACGTCAATGGCAAATACCTTTAAGGTAACTCAAACCAAATTAAGCGATTGTTTCGGGGGGATTGCCTTTCCCCTTTAATTCACAGTAGCGAGTAACCATGATCCTCTCTAGGGGCCATGTTCCTTGCAGTCTCACTGAACATGAAAGCGCGCATTCATATTGGAACCACCTTTGGGGGCATTGGTTCCTGTTCCTGCTGCCGTTGCCACTACGCCCTCCCCTCTTCCCCGTGCTCCGGAAGAAGGACGACAGAAGGAATTCAAATGGACCAGTCCATAGCAATGTTTTCACAAACAATCCAGTGCAGTCCGCCTCGACTCAGTAGAGTGAAACGTTTTTTCTCATGTTTTTGCTCTGAAACAGAACTGGTACACAAAAAAGAAATGCGGTAGAGCTCAGCACCTGGACCACAAAAACTCCAGTTTAAGCTGGAGTTACAGGATCGACAGGAAAGGAGTGTTTGTTAAGAATGTTGTTAATTGTTAACTAGGTTTATATGCTTGTTTTGCTGGTGGCGTCTTACTGTTCTTGCTCAAGAGCCGGGCAGCACACAGCAGCAGGATATGTCACCATTGTCATGTTGATAAATGTCTCCTAAAAACAAGTTACTATAACCGAGGTAACATATGCTAGAAACTCCAGAATTCTCTGGAAGAGCATAACCGGAGAGTAACGTGTTATGATGTAAATGTACAGAATTGAGACTTAACCTGTTTATGTGAATCACTGGTAAGTTCTGCCAGGTTCTGTTCATCTGAAGAAAGAGGAGCATTTTTCTTGTTAGGCAACAAATAAATATTTAGCATTTCAAAAACAATTGTTAACTGGTAATGGTGTTCCATAAGCTATTTGATGTATGTTAAATGTCCAGATATTAAATGACTTTTCATGCAATGTTTCTTTGGAATGTTTACCTATCGTGTGAGCTATAACGGTTTATCCCAAATAAATAAATGGATAACTAGTAATTGGTGTTCATGAACTAGTTGTCCTGTGAAACAAAGTGTCAAATGCCAGTTCAATGATAATGTTATGTTGGAATAGTTTTTTTTGGAATCCATGGTTGGGGCCAAGGAAAAGAGAAAGGCCGAGAACGGCTGGAAGCAAGCAAGGCAAGACAAGGGGGGGAGGGGGCACAGACCGGGGACGCAGAGGGGGGTTGCGGGGGGGAAGCGAAGGCCGGGGGGGGGGCCGAGCGCCAACGGGGCAGGAGGAGCGAACAAGCACAACAAGACCACAAAGCGAAAGGGGCAAAGAAAAGAAGGAAAGCGTATAACATTAGGACGAGCATATCGGAGTGGCATTGACTAAAATACCGTAAATACATGCTTACATATGAAATGAGTAAAACAGTAATGTAAACATTATTACTAGTGTTTCCATTATTAAAGTGACCAGTGATCTATGTCTATTACATGGCAGCACTAAGTGCAGGGTGTGAGATAACCGGTGTAGCTGGCTAGTGATGGCTAAAAAGTTACAGTGAGGGCCGTGAGATAGAAGCGTGTTTTTCAGGGCCTCGGTCCAGCTTGATGCCCTTTACTGGACCTCGGCCTCTGGATGATATCGGTTTACAGGCCATGGCTCAGTTGGTTATGTCCTTGATGATCCTTTTGGGCCTTCCTGTGACTCGTGTGCTGTAGGTGTCCATGGAAGGGCAGGCAGTGTGGCCCCACGTGAGGTTGGGTGCGGTGCATTGCCGTACCAGGCGTGATAAAGCCGACAGGAACCCTCAATTGTGCCTCTGTAAAAGTTTGTCAGGGTCTTATGGGCCAAGCCCAAATTTTCCGTCAGCCTCCTGACCGTTTGAAGAGGCTCGTTGCCACCTTCTCACACTCTGTCTGTGTGGGTGGGTGGACCTTTCAGATTGTCAGTGATGTGTATGCCGAGGAAATTGAAGGCTTTTCGCCTTCTCCACTGCGTTCCTTTCGATGGGGATGGGGTGTGCTCCTCGTTGTCTTCTGAAGTATCATGTAAATGTTATTTATTTATCATACTACATACCACACTTTGTTGGTATCCTTAGAGACATTCTCCCAGATTTGCCCAGAAGGAATTTGTTGATATGTTGTCAATTTTTTATTCTAGATAATTTTTTGGGGGGGGAAAATGCACAATAAATCATTTTACGTGCATTTTTTTAGTATTTTCCAAGAATAGAAAAAAAAGTATTTATCCACATCTCCTCTGGACAGTCCGGTCCTGGAGTGTCCTTAACAAAGATTAAACCAAAATATGGCTGCTTCATCCATGTCCAGAAAAATGGATTTGGCGCGATAATGCAATATGTCACCTATTTAATGACGTTTGTCTCATTTGCATATTTTTTTAAAACATTTCAGAAACCTTGTAATACAAAAAAGTATGAATATTTGTGTCTACATCCACTGGTAAAAGTTGATTGTTATATGATTAAGGAAAAAATATGAGGGTGTGTTGCCTAGCCTTAAAAGATAATCGTCGGGTCTGACTCATTCAGACATTTCTTTCTGCCGCCCGTTCAAAGCTCTGGCCCCCGCTCTGGTTTTGTTGATCACGGGTTTCTCTTGTGTATTCTACAATAGCCCTTTACTATGTGCCCCATTGTGAGTTCAAGAGTAGGATCTTTCTCCCCTGGTAATGTCCACTGCTTCAAATTGGATGCTAAATCCGGATTGGAGGTTGAGCATCATTCTAATGCCTTGTTGTTGGATTTTGGTAATTTTAAGTATACCAAGGCGCAGCTACTCTTCCTGGTGTCCAGCAACATTAAGGCTTACCTATATTAACATTACTTTCACAACACATTATTACAAACTACTCTAATACACACTATTTGGTCCGTAATGTGACTTGCATAAGGTGATGACGTTAGTATAGAATCACTAACATGTTTTAAATTGTCACTCCGATTAAATCGCATGTAACATATTAACGAGTTACCCCATCTCCCAAATTAACCTCGTAGAAGATATATATTGTTATATCTCAATAACGTCACTATTCAATCATTACCTCATCAGTCTCTTCTAGAAACGCGCATAATCTTGAAACTGCAAGAAACCCCCTAACCCTATGAGAATCAGCAATAACAATTGGCTATTATTTCTTTTACTACCTAACTAAATAATACCGAGAATACAAACACACCCACACACGCATAGGTTATTGATTACTAACATAATACAATGAAACCGGTCCCTAGTGGACTGACTAACAATAGCCTGACTGCTTTGGTTAGTGGGAAGGAGGGGTCACTAGAAAGAGAGTGAAAAGGAGAGACGGATGCATTTTCATTGTTACATTTAGAACACCCGCTTCATTTGGCTAAGAATGCATGCATACAGTGGGGAAAAGTATTTAGTCAGCCACCAATTGTGCAAGTTCTCCCACTGAAAAGATGAGAGAGGCCTGTAATTTTCATCATAGGTACAATCAACTATGACAGACAAATGGAGGGAAAAAAATGCCAGAAAATCACATTGTAGGATTTTTAAATGAATTTATTTGCAAATTATGGTGGAAAATAAGTATTTTGGTCACCTACAAACAGCAAGATTTCTTGGCTCTCACAGACCTGTACCTTCTTCTTTAAGAGGCTCCTCTGGTCCTCCACTCGTTACCTGTATTAATGGCAACCTGTTTGAAACTTGTTATCAGTATAAAAGACACCTGTCCACAACCTCAAACAGTCACACTCCAAACTCCACTATGGCCAAGACCAAAGAGCTGTCAAAGGACACCAGAAACAAAATTGTAGACCTGCACCAGGCTGGGAAGACTGAATCTGCAATAGGTAAGCAGCTTGGTTTGAAGAAATCAACTTTGGGAGCAATTATTAGGAAAAGGAAGACATACAAGACCACTGATAATCTCCGTCGATCTGGGGCTCCACGTAAAATCTCACCCCGTGGGGTCAAAATGATCACAAGAACGGTGGAGCAAAAATCCCAGAACCACACGGGGGGACCTAGTTGAATGACCTGCAGAGAGCTGGGACCAAAGTAACAAAAGCCTACCATCAGTAACACACTACGCCGCCAGGGACTCAAATCCTGCAGTGCCAGACGTGTCCCCCTGCTTAAGCCAGTACATGTCCAGGCCCGTCTGAAAGTTTGCTAGAGTGCCTTTGATGAACCAGAAGAGGATTGGGAGCATGTCATATGGTCAGATGAAACCAAATATAAACTTTTGATAAAAAACTCAAACTCGTCGTGTTTGGAGGACAAAGAATGCTTAGTTGCATCCAAATAACACCATACCTACTGTGAAGCATGGGGGTGGAAACATCATGCTTTGGGGCTTTTTTTCTGCAAAGGGAACCAGGACGACTGATCCGTGTAAAGGAAAGAATGAATGGTGCCATGTATCGTGAGATTTTGAGTGAAAACCTCCTTCCATCAGCAAGGGCATTGAAGATGAAGGTGGCTGGGTCTTTCAGCATGACAATGATCCCAAACACACTGCCCGGGCACGAAGGAGTGGCTTCGTAAGAAGCATTTCAGGTCCTGGAGTGGCCTAGCCAGTCTCCAGATCTCAACCCCATAGAAAATCTTTGGAGGGAGTTGAAAGTCTGTGTTGCCCAGCGAACCAGCCCCCCAAAACATCACTGCTCTAGAGGAGATCTGCATGGAGGAATGGGCCCAAATACCAGCAAACAGTGTGTGAAAACCTTGTGAAGACTTACAGAAACCTGTGTCATTGCCAACAAAGGGTATATACACAAGTATTGAGAAACTTTTGTTATTGACCAAATACTTATTTTCCACCATAATTTGCAAATAAATTCATTAAAAATCCTACAATGTGATTTTCAGGATTTTTTTTCTCATTTTGGTCTGTCATAGTTTGACGTGTACCTATGATGAAAATTACAGGCCTCTCTCATCTTTTTAAGTGGGAGAACTTGCACAATTGGTGGCTGACTAAATACTTATTTTCCCCACTGTACATGAATCATTTTAAGCTCACTACATGCCGCACCGTTCAAAGCTATGGCCAGCTCTGGTTGTTGTTGATCACGGGTATCTCTTGTCTATTGTGTAATAGCCTTGACTATGTTCGCCCCGTTGTCAGTTACAAAGAGTAGAATCTTCTCCTCTGGTATGTCCCATGCGTTCAATGTGCAGTCAATTACCTCTCCGGTGTGTGGATGCTAATCCAATGAAGGTTGAGCAATGAATGCTCTGCCTTGTTATTTTTGTTTCAGTTTTTGTTTACTATAATAACCTTGAATCAATGGATAAATGTAAAGAATTTAAATGACCATTGAACAAACTCTGAGATCCTAGACTGTACCTTTAAGAATCATCTTACAATTATGGCATTCATGTTTAATAATGACTCATAAGAGAAAACTAATAATGTGTACAACCGTTTTATTGACAATAAACAAACAAAACCATTACTCAACATTATGAACAACAACTAAACACAAACTTACAGTTTACAGCAACAAATAATCTTTACTAAATATTTGACTTTACCATAAAAAGTGTTCAGTTGGATGCTGACACTATCGAGTAGGCATTTATGGTTTCAGTTTTTCTCTATTTCACAGATTCTTTTGGAGCACACAGAGGGAAAGCTGTTTCCACAGTTTATATCGTTCCAGCGGTATTCATCTTAAAAGGAAACACAGAACAGAAATGACCTCTCAAATAATCTCAGATGTTCACACAACAATATAATAGTGTGTTTGCGGTGTGTGGTGTGTGTGCCAGTTTTATTTGTTAAATGTACTATGAATAAAGTTTTAATTTGATGAATGTATCAGTGAATGATAGTGAGCCTACTGTACCTCCCCAGTTCATCACCATACATGGCTCTCTGCCACCGCTATTATTGGGCTCTCCTTTCTTCCAGTTCTGGTAATCAAATTTGGAGCCGTCACTCCAAAACCATAGCCTGTCCTGTGGTGAAGAAGTGAGGTCTCAGTATCAAAGCAATCCCATATTACTATTATTATTATTATTATTATAGTATGCCAGTGGATACTAAAAAACCTAGATCTGACTTTACCAGTGACCCTTGAGATATTGATGAGTATACCAAGATACTACTGATCTGTGAGTATACTCCACCTGAACAGCATCATATCCTCCAATCCAGGTAGGAGAGAAACCGCCAGCCTTGCACCCCACCACTACCTGTAGAAATTGATACTCCGCAGAGCTGTGCACAGACGCCAGGTTTGCTCCAAGGGACACACAGTGGCGCTACAGTGAGAGGTAGACAGGGACAAAGACATTTCATAATGTAAGTATCAGTCAGTAGTCCAGTCTGGGATAACTTATCTTCTGGACTCTCACAATCAAATATTGTCCATCGCAATTAATGCTCTTTACATATGCTCTTACAGATGTTAGATCTCTGTCTTAACCAATGTCCTGTGGGTTCCAAATACAGTAGGCCTCAGGTAATATAAATATATCAATAAATATTCGACGCTTAAAGAAAATTCCAAATGAAACAATAACTTAAAGGGGAGGTTCAGTATTTCCAGGACGCAATGGCAAATCAACCTTTAAGGGTAACCTCAAACCAAATAAGCGAGTTGATTTCGATTGAACTTTCCCTTTAATTCACAGTAGAGAGTAACCATGATACCTCTGCTAGGGCCATGTCCTTGCAGTCTCAACGAACATGAAGCAGCGCGATTCATATTGGAACCAGCCTGTGGGGCATTGGTTCCTGTTCTCTGCTGCCGTTGCCACTACGCCCTCCTCTGCCCCCTTAGCTCCTGGAAGAAGGACAGACAGAAAGGAATTCAAATGGGACCAGTCATAGCAATGTTGTTCACAAACAACCCAGTGCAGTCCACCTCGACTCAGTAGAGTGAAAACGTTTTTCTCATGTTTGCTCTGAAACAAGAACTGGTACACAAAAAAGAATGACGGTAGAGCTCAGCACCTGGACAACAAAAACTCCAGTTAGCTGGAGTTACAGGGATCGACAGGAAAGGAGTGTTATGTAAAGAATGTTGTTAAGTGTGAACTAAGGTGTATATTCTTGGTTTGCTGTGCGTCTTACCTGTTGCTTGACTCAGAGCAAGGGCAGCACACAGCAGCAGAGATATGGTCAACATTGCAATGGTGATGATGGTCTCCTAAAAACAAGGTACTATAACCGAGGAAAATAATGCTAGAAACATCCAGAATTCTCTGGAAAAGAGCATAACAGGAGAGTAAACAGTTTATGATGTAATGTACATGAATTGAAGACTTACCTGTTAATGTGAATCACTGGTAAGTTCTGCAGGTTCTGTTCATCTGAAAGAAAGAGGAGCACTTTTATATTGTTAGCTACAAATAAATAGTTAGCAATTTCAAACAATTGTTAACTGGTAATGGTGTTCCATAGAGCTGATTTGAGGTATGTTCAAATTCCAGATATGAATGACTTTTCATGGCAATGTTCTTTGGAATGTTTACCTATCGTGTGAGCTATAAAGGTTTATCCCAAAAAATAAATGGATAACTAGTATTGGTGTTCCATGGAACTAGTGTCCTGTTGAACAAAGTTCAAAATGCCATGTTCATGATAATGTTATTTGGAATAGTTTTTGCATCCATGGTTGGGGCCAATTAAAATATAAATTCCTATAAAATTCTTGACATCAAATCAAGTCAAGTCAAATGTTATTGGGCACATACACATATTTAGCAGATGTTGTTGCGGGTGTAGCTAAATGCTTGTGTTCCTAGCTCCAACAATGCAGTAGTATCTAACAATTCACAACAATACACGCAAATCTAAAAGTAAAAGAATGGATTTAAGAAATATATAAATATTAGGACGAGCAAAGTCGGAGTGGCATTGACTAAAATACACTAGATTACAGTATATACATATGAAATGAGTAAAACAGTATGTAAACATTATTAAAGTGACTAGTTTTCCATTATTAAAGTGACCAGTGATTCAATGTCTATGTACATAGGGCAGCAGGCTCTAAGGTGCAGGGTTGAGTAACTGGGTGGTAGCTGGCTAGTGAAGGCTATTTAACAGTCTGATGGCCTTGAGATAGATGTTTTTCAGTCTCTCGGTCCCAGCTTTGATGCACCTGTACTGACCTCGCCTTCTGGATGATAGCGGGGTGAACAGGCCGTGGCTCAGGTGGTTGATGTCCTTGATGATCTTTTTGGCCTTCATGTGATATCAGGTGCTGTAGGTGTCCTGGAGGGCAGGCAGTGTGCCCCCGGTGAGGTGGGGGCGGTGCAGTTGCCGTACCAGGCGGTGATACAGGCCGACAGGAAAACCTCAATTGTGCATCTGTAAAAATGTGTCAGGGTCTTATGGGCCAAGCCGAATGTCTTCAGCCTCCTGACATTGAAGAGGCGCTGTTGCGCCTTCTTCACCACTCTGTCTGTGTGTGTGGACCATTTCAGATTGTCAGTGATGTGTATGCCGAGGAAATTGAAGCTTTTCGCCTTCTCCACTGCGGTCCTGTCGATGTGGATGGGGGTGTGCTCCCTCTGCTGTCTCCTGAAGTATCATGTAAATGTTATTTAGTTTATCATACTACATACCACACTTTGTTTGGTTATCCTTAGAGACATTCTCCAGATTTGCCCAGAAGGATTTGTTGATATGTTGTACATTTTTTATTGTAGATAATTTTTTGGGGGGGAAATGCACAAAAAAATGCATTTTACGTGCATGTTTTTAGTATTTTCCAGATAGAAAAGATGAAAAAAAGAATTTATCCACAATCTCCTCTGGACAACTCCGATCCTGGAGTGTCTTAACAAAATTAAACCAAAATATAGGCTAACTTCATCTAGTGTCTAGAAAAAATGGATTTGCGCGATATGCCAATATGCACATATTTCATGAGCTATTGTCTCATTTGCATATTTTTATAAGATATTTCAGAAACATTGTAATACAAAAAAGTATGATATTTGTGTCTACATCCAACTGGTAAAAGTTGATTGTGATATGATTAAGGGAACAAATATGAGGGTGTGGTGCCTAGCCTTAAAATAATAATTGTCGGTGTCCGACTCAGATTCAGACATTTCTGTCGCACCGTTCAAAGCTATGGCCAGCTCTGGTTGTTGTTGATCATGGGTATTCCCTTGTCTATTCTATAATAGCCTTAACTATGTTCGCCCAGTTGTCAGTTACGAATAGTAGGATCTTCTCCGCTGGTATGTCCCATGCGTTCAATGTGGGGTCAATTACCTCTTCGGTGTGTGGATGCTAAATCGGATGGAGGTTGAGCAATGCATGCTATGCCTTGTTTTTGTATTTGTATTTTGTATTTTATTATTCCAAGGTAGCAGCTACTCTTCCTGGTGTCCAGCAACATTAAGGCAATTACATACATTAAAAACATTACATTTCACAACACATTATTACACACTACTCTAGTACAACATATCTACAATACAAAATCCATATGTTCGTGTGTGTAGAGTGTGTGTGTTTTTGCGTGTGTCTGTGCCTGTGTGTGTGTCTCTTCACAGCCCGCCCTGTTCCATAAGGTGTAGTTTTAACTGGGGGGTTTTAGCTGATTTTACTGCTTGTATGAGTTACTTGATGTGGAATAGAGTTCCATGTATTCATGGCTCTGTGTAGTACTGTGTGTTTCCCATAGTCTGTTCTGGACTTGGGGACTGTGAAGAGACCTCTGGTGGCATGTCTTGTGGGGTATGCATGGGTCTATGAACTTTGTGCTAGTCGTTTAAACAGACAGCTTGGTGCATTCAACATGTCAATACTTCTCACAAATACAAGTTGTGATGAAGTCAATCTCTCCTCTTCTTTGAGCCAAGAGAGATTGACATGCATATTATTAATGTGAGCTCTCCGTGTACATTTAAGGGCCAGCCGCTCTGTTCTGGGCCAACTGTAATTTGCCTCTTTGTGGCACTTGACCATATGACTGGGCAGCAGTTCAGGTGTGACAAAACTAGAGCCAGTATGACTTGTTTTGTTGATAGCCTTGTCAAGTAAGCAGAGCAGCACTTTATTACGGACAGACCTCTGCCCATCTTAGCTACCATTGCATCAATATGTTTTGACCATGGCAGTTTACAATCCAGGGTTACACCAAGCAGTTTAGTCTCCTCAACTTGCTCAATGTCCTTGTTTGGAGGAGGGGTAAAAGAAGCAGGTTGATATGCCCATAAAGGAAGCAGTCAGTCCTTTCTTGCTCCATCCGTCTACACACAGGGTTATTTGTTATGCCTCTTTCAGATTCTTAACTTTCTGGGTTGCTGTATAGTTTTGCAAAGCAATCGACCCGTTTGCGCTAACAGCACCAGGAGTTTTACATTTGGTATCGTGTTTGGTTGTATTTTCTGAAGGCTGGCTCATCGTGGACTTGCCAGACTGGATGAATAAATTAACCAATGCTTCTTCTCTTTTCTCATTTGAATTAGGTTGCCATGTTTCTTCTCTTTTCATGCAAACTGCTAAAGTTGGTTGTCCTGACGTGCAGCTACTGGTTGCCGTTGACGTGCAGTTACTAATAGCTAGCTGGTGGCTATCTCACCTTGTATTTATCCTGAAATTGTTTGTATGATTCTTTGTGGGCGCTGTTCAGATGAACTTTGAGGTTGGTTGGGTTTTCCTTTTTATCTCTGTTCCACACACGCTGCCATCTTCTGACACTTTAAATACATTTGCTTTTGTCCTTTGCAGCAACATACTCAAAACAATCCCATACAGTGCTGTACCTTTTGCTGCCGCCATTGTTCACACCTATGGTTGCCATTTACTGGCAGCATTTACCCGTCAGATTCAGTAGCTGGTGTTGTGTCGAGAAAACTTTGCTAATTATGCTGTGAGACCAAGGAAATCCGCTGACGCTGTACTTTGATCATAAAGGTTTATTTATATCAAAGGGTTACAGCTTCAATTTACAGATATCTGCAGACATCTGGAGACCAGCGAACCAAAAGAATAAGTTGTTCTGATCTCCTTTGTCTCAACCAAGTATTTATAATCTTTACCATGATATGGGTGGTTTTCCATACAGACCAATCACCTGTCTCCACACAACAGACTTCCTCTGTTCTAGATGCTCCCTCTAAGCTGAATAAACATCCTCTCAGATACCATTTGAAAACGTTAGCAAAGTCATAATTCCTCAGATACTACATATTCTCCCCTTCGAGACAAATTAAGTCTCGAAAATAAAAAGAATAGGATTATGACAAATAACAATTTCTCTCTTATTGAGTAACTTTTAACAATAAACCAAAAACTCATTTTTCTATGGAGTGTAAATAAATTTCTATGAAATATGAACAAATCTCTATGGAGTGTGAGAGCGAAAAACCTGTCTGGCAGCCTTCTTTCCAAATATCCATCAATCAATCAAGACAGTAAAATTCTCTCACGGCCCCTCTGCCCCAGGCAACCACCTAAGTACTCCAGATCAATTCATAAATCTTTATCAATGCATTTGAAACTATGATGCAATTTGAATACACATGAAAGCCTCAGCAAACAAAATACAATCCAAAATGTCCACATTCAGGCTGGTTGACCCATCGGACACTCCTGTGGATTCTTTCTATCCCTGCCTAGACCCAATATCCCTAAGCATCCACGAAATAAACAAAAACATCTGAGATCCCCACATGTACCCAATAACAGCAAATATCATTCTACAAAAATTAATACAGAAAGAATATGACACAAATTATGTATTACACATGCAAATATGTCTATATATCATTGCAGACACTGGAATGTAGTCCACTACACTTCATCTCCTCAGCAGTGTTGACTTCCAATGCAACGTCGATGATGGAATCTGAACGTTTCCACACCTTCCTTGTTCCACTTCCTCCAGTCCATTCATATTCTCCTTTCATATTGTCCATGTTTGAGTATTATCATCGCCTTCGCAAAGGTCAGTAACAAAGTACAAAAGCAAAACATCACACACAGCGCTATCAGAGCTGCTACTAAAATCTGAACTATCACTGCTCCCACTGGGCCTAACTGATCTTGCAACCAAGCCTTCGCTGACCATCCAGCTCCTTCAGATCTACCAAACGCATCCCTTATATTTTTCAATGCATCTATAACACTAGTGATATTATTGGAACTATCTGGGATCAAAGTATAACAATCATCCCCCGTCAAATTCATAGCCAAACATAAGCCACCTTGTTTTGCTAAAATATAGTCAAGAGCCATGTCATGTTTCAACAGCGTCAGTCTGTGACTTCTTTGAGTATTCGACAGAAGGTTAAACCCTCTTATCGTTTCATTTGCAAAACCCTGCAAAGTATAGGTAATATTATCAATATGTTCTGCCAAAAATGTTACACCATACCATGGAAAAAGTCCCAGTCCCCACTTCTCTCCTAGACTTATCCTCCAATGGTAGGCTTCCAGACTATGAAATTCCGCCATGTCCCTTTTCATTTCCAAACCTAGACTCAGATTTATCCGTGTCCGGTGCTTCCCCTCTTTTAATGGTAAAATCCTCATATGGAAGCTTCAACGTTGACATGTAACAACATCCTGTCCATCCATAGGGTAAGAATATATACG